TTTTTTTGTGCCTGTCTGTGACTGTTACTATTGCGACGATATTATTCGTATATCACTGATCAGATACTCATCATCACTTGACGAACCTCATACTTATAGAAAAAAAAAGAGAAGAGATGCAAAGTCATATAGTAAATATATATTGATGCATATATAATTCATAATATCAAATTACGCAATTATTCTCATTTAACAGTATGTTAATTTTCGTTATATTTATTGATATTACCTTCTTTCTTTCTTTTTTGTTTGAATAGGAAAACACGAAAAGAATATGACATCAAATGCCGATGAGAAAAGTGCTCGATATCAATATCGACGTGCTGGAACAATCTGTAAAAATTCGAATATCGATGAAAAAGAAGATAAGTAAGTTAATAAAAATGATATGAGATCGAAATAACATTATATGTTATGAAAATGAGATATATTTATTAAATACATCTTAAAATTTTTGCCAGGCATGACATAAATTTGATTATTTATGTTTGAAAAACAACATCATTTCTAACTTAAATATAAAAAGAAATAACTTGTTATTTTTTTTCTTTTTTTAAGTAATGGCATTGTCAATCGTCGACATAGTCTAGCACATATTAACTTCCGGAAGGCTGTTTATAGAAGTCTCTCATTGCCAGAAGAAGATGAAGAAAGTAATAACATTCCAATAAGTTATATGAAATATTTTATTAAATTCTTATTTGTTTGTCTTATTATTATATTAATCGGATCGTTAATTAAACTTCTACATTCATATTTTGGTCAAAAACAATGAATGGAATACATTATAATGATTAATCTAGAAGAATTATTATTTGCTTCGAAAATTTTCATGTTTCATTTAACATTTTGTTGTTGTTCTTGGTATTAATGTAGTTTTTTTTCCTACAGAACAGAAGATCTCTCATATTTCTTTGACATCTTCTCATATATTGTATATCTATTCATTCAAGCATAACTCTTTTCTTGTCTTACAAATGTCATACTTCATCAATGTTTGACAAATAAAGATTGACAGAAATAACATATTGATCTCATTTATATATATATATATTTGATAATAATAACAAGCAATAATGACAGTTGAGTGTTGACAAAAGAATGGAAAGAAACTGAATGTATGTTTTGATTTAACAATCATAATCAAATCGTGTAGGGGTTTATCGCTTATCAAGATAAAATTCTGACAAATGAATATGATATACTCATCATATTCGTCAACACTACCCACAATAACAGATACTTATGTCAATTAGACAATGATTATGATGATGACGACTTGTTAGATTATGTAATTGAATCTTTTCTTCTTTCTTCATCTCATATTCGGTGATCAGCGACGAGAGATCACATCTGTTGACAGCATATGAAATGACTTTTTTTTTGGTGGTTTAATTGATATCGACAAATAACATAGTTAGATAGGCACGAGTAAGGCGGACCAAATGATAAGCTTTCCTAATGTTTATATCAGTCATTTGTATCTCAAATCGACTAACATTAACAGTAATAAAGAACGAACAAAAGTAAGATAAAGAAAAAAACCCATTTTGATCATTTCAATTCTCTAAAAGATACTTTTGTTTATTCATATATTTTTATTTTCTCTGTTAGTTTTGCTCTCTCTACTTCTCTCTTCTTCTCTTTTTTTCCCTTTGAAAAAAAGGGGGTTATTAATATTAGACATCAGCAGATGTACTACAACTGTTTATGTCTTGGAAGATATTTTTATTCTTTGTTATAACAAATATTCTATTCTTATCATCGATATTCGATTTAACATTGGGTGTTCAATTATTGAACACATCATCGGGTATCTATGCAGGTCGAACAGTTACCTATGGTAATATAATTGTTAAACAATATCTTGGAATTGAATATGGTCGAATTATTAAACGATTTGATCGAGCTATACCAATTATAAGAAAAAATGATGATATTATTAATGCAACTTCACATGGACCTTTATGTAAACCAACAGCCGGTTCATGTGCAGGAAATACAGGAATATATCCATTAGGATCTTCTTGTTCAGTTAGTTATGGTATTTTTTCTGTTAAATCAATTCCTGCTGAACAATGTCTTTTTTTAAATATTTTTATTCCGGTGACGACGACAACAACAACAACTAATAAAAGAAAAAAAGCTATATTTATGTGGATTCATGGTGGTTCTGGTCAAATTGGTACAGGAAATGTATTTGATGGAACTATATTTGCTGCTTTAGGCGATGTTATTGTTATTACATTTAATTTTCGCTTAAATCTCTTTGGTTTTTTATCATCAGGTGATGATCGTCTAGAAGGTAATCTTGGTCTTTATGATCAAGCATTAGTACTTGATTGGATCTATGAAAATGGTGATGCATTAGGTGGTGATATAAAACGTATTACAGTTGGTGGTCATTCAGCTGGTGCACCACATGCATATTATTTAGCAATATCACCATTAAATAATGGACGTATACGTCGATTATTATTACAAAGTGGTAGTCCATTTAATATATGGTCTCATTTAAAAGCACAAGATGCAATGGAAAAATTTAATATTGTTGCAAATGATAATGGATGTGGAATTCTGGAAACATTTAATGAACAACTTAAATGTTTACAAGATCGTGATTTTGATTTAATTGCTGAACATGAACATCATTCATATACAAGTGCTAATCATACAAATGTTGTTACTACAGGAAATTTTATGAGTCAATTTCGAGAAGAATTTCTAAAAAATGATACATTAGCTGATGTTGATATACTTATGGGATCAACAGATGATGAAGGTAATTTATTCGAATTCAACTCTTTTTTTATATTATTGTTTGTTTTATCATAGGTGTTTATGTTGCAATAGTACCTATCCTTATGGAACAATATGATCAAGATGCTATAACACTTCATAATATAAATTTTACTGAAATAACATTAAAATTTCTTAAAGCAATGCAACCGGATAAAACTTGTTTATATAAAAAAGCTTTTGAAATGTAAGTCATTGTTATCATCAATCGAAATATTAAATTTCTGTTTTTTAATTAATAGATATAATATTGATAAAATTCCAGTTAATTGTTCTCAATCACTTGAATGTTATTGTTCATTATTTTATAATTATTCTCAACTTATCACTGATATTCTATTTAATAATGATTATTATCGTTTTCTCGAACAACGTTTAAAATATTCCAATCGAACATATCTATATCAATATTCTCATCGAACAGCACAAGAACATCCAACACCATGTAATGATTATTTACATAAACATGATTTAGTTGGTCATTTTGCTGAACTTGAATATACATGGGGTACGCCATTATTATATGAAGAACCAAATTCAACATTAAATCTTTCACCTTTAATACATTATGTTCGATATGAATCGAATACAACAGGAAATTCAAATTTAACGCATACATATACAAATGAACAAATACAATTTAGTAAACAATTAATCGAACAATGGTCAAATTTTATTAAATTTGGTCGACCAACAAGTTCAATCATTAATTATGATTGGCCACCGATTACTAATATATCAACAGCAGTAGTTATGCATTTACAAGTTAATCGAAGTGAAATTAAAAAATTAAATATTCCTTTAACTGTACAATTTTGGAAGAATGAATGTTCAACAGAAAAAAATGAAATTCATTTCAAAAGTAATCAAGCATTTATATTTCGAATATCATTAAAAATTTTTATATATTCATTATTATCTCATAAGGTGCTTAGTTCAATCCAATTTATTTAATTTTAAAAAAACAAAAACAAAATAAACTTATCGTTGTTTTATGGAAAAATAAATAAATTCTTATGTTATTTTTTTCTTCTTCTTTTCTTTTTTTTTGATCATAAATATTTTTCAAAATAAGTTCATATTTATATTTTTCTTTTTGATACCAATATTTAATTACTATTAAATTTCTGGTCTTATTTATGTTTTTATCTGTTGAATAGAATTTTAACGTCATGCATTTTTAAACATTTTTGCCCTTCGGCATAATAAAATATTCATATTTTGCTTCATTTATTATTGAAGTTTATAATAGTATTTAGATTTGAATATGAAAGAGTTTAGAACTTATAAATTTTAATTGATTGCGTCTATACTTCCTAGATTAATTGTGCTTATCTTGGAAAATTCCTTTTAATAGAAAAAAAGGACATTTAACGTACGTATTAAATAATAAACCTAGAAATATCATTTACAGAAAACGTCATATTTTTTAATTGAAAGTAAAATTATCAATAAGTGGAGTTTTATAATATTGAACTGAGAATATTTAACCATATAAACATGTGAAATTATTAGATAAATGATTGTTTAAGCTTATGCTTTCAGTCGATTGGGTTACTGTTTTTTTTGTACAGGTAGACGAGAATATATTTGCATTAGTAAGTTTTAATCATGTGAAATATATACAGAACTATGAAATAAATTTGCGTACTTTTTTTCGTTCACATATTAAGGATCAAGCAGTAAAATATTATATCACATCATTTATTTACATCTATACGAACACACGTGTTTATGACCGCTACAGTCGCCAACGAAAAGTTAAAACGACATTTCTTTTAACGTACGATAATAAACTTTAACAATATTATAATTGATTTTCTCTGTTAACGAGTTCTTTAGATCTGTTATTAACTAACTTTTCTTTTCTTTTGCACTTTCGAAATAGGAACAAATGTACTCGATCGTTTTTATAGATATGCGATATTCACAAACTTAAGTTTATATAACACGTCATAAAACTCTGATTAAAAAAGTATAAGAGATGATGATTTGAGTCACGACCCTTATTTGATGAAAGTTATCGATTGTCCTGACATCTTTTTCTCTAATGATGATTAAGCCAACCAGGGTTTATACAGTCTTTCACGCGTTGAGTGGCTGCTTTATCAATTCTAAAGTAGCATACTTTTATAGACAAGCGTGGTTTTATAAGACTCTTGTACTTTTAGATTTCATATATTAATACAAAAAAAAATCTTACTTGTTTTTTTCTCATTATAGACATGCCTCGTAGCTTTAGTCGTCGATTTATTCGGCATGGTCTCCTTCTATGTACATCGGCTATAGGTACTGGTTTTCTTGGTCAATATGTACTCGAAGTACGTTCAACCTTTTTTTCGTTAATATTTGACATTTTTTTTATATATAAATTATGAATATTTAGAAAAGTAAATTAAAAGCTGCTGAACAGCCATCACATAGACCTGCAGTGTGGCTAGATGACTATCCAACACGTGAAGCTCAGTTAGATGCAATGTCCAAAGAACCTGAATATGATATTGTAGTTATTGGTGGTGGTGCTACTGGTTGTGGAGTTGCTGTTGATGCAGCAAGTCGCGGTAAACGAGATTCTATTTCAAATTAAATATATATAATTTTTTTGATAGGTCTCAAAGTAGCTTTAGTAGAAAAATATGATTTTAGTAGTGGTACTTCATCACGATCAACAAAATTAATTCATGGCGGCGTTCGATACTTACAAAAGGCAATCATGCAATTTGATCTTGAACAAGTAATTAAATCATTTTATCTATTAATTAGAAATGTTTCATTTTCAAAAACTTTAGTATCGTATGGTAAAAGAAGCTTTATATGAACGTGGTAATCTTCTTAAAATCGCACCACATTTATCATATCCTTTACCAATAATGTTACCTATTTACAAGTAAAAATCAGATGAAATCATATTCATTTTTAAATTTATTATTTAGATGGTACCTTTTACCGTATTATTATGCTGGTATAAAAGCATATGATATCGTATCAGGTCGACAATTACTACGATGGTCATATGTAATATCAAAAACAAAAGCATTAGAATTATTTCCTATGTTAAAAAAAGAAAAACTTGTTGGTGGAATTGTGTATTATGATGGACAACATAATGATGCACGTATGAATATTGCACTTGCATTTACAGCAGCACGTATGGGTGCAAATATTGCTAATCATTGTACTGTAACTGAATTTATACATGAAGATGTTCAAGTTAAAAATGCTGACGGACAATCAGAAACAAAAAAAAAGATTCGAGGTGTTAAATGTTTAGATCGATATCAAAGTAAAAATTGATTTTTTTTTAATTAAAAATAATTCATTGAAATTTTAGATAAAGAATTTTCAATTCGAACAAAATGTGTTGTGAATGCAACAGGACCTTATACAGATATAATTCGACAATTAGATGATGCAACGACACCAAAAATTTGTCAACCATCATCTGGTGTTCATATTGTCTTACCAGATTATTATAGTCCAAATAATATGGGTCTTCTCGATCCGAATACATCTGATGGACGTGTTATCTTTTTTCTACCTTGGCAAAAACATACAATGGCTGGTTTGTAATACAAATTATGATTCATACGCTATATATAGATTGTTTTTTCTCTTCTTTTAATACAGGTACAACGGATACACCTTGTGAAGTATCTGATTATCCATCACCATCAACTGCCGATGTAGATTTTATATTAGGTGAAGTGAAAAATTATCTTTCATCAGATGTTCAAGTACGTCGAGGAGATGTTTTAGCAGCATGGTCTGGTATTCGACCACTTGTTCTTAATCCAAATAAAAAAGATACACAATCAATTGCAAGAAATCATATTATTCATGTTAGTGATTCAGGTCTTGTTACAATTGGAGGTAAGATCTTTTGTTTTTAATTTTTTTTTGCATAAAAATCATTATAATTAACATTGCTAGGAGGAAAATGGACAACGTATAGAGAAATGGCTGAGGAAACTGTTGATCGTTGTATAAAATCAGCTAAACTTCAACCAAAAAATCCATGTGTCACAAAAGGTTTAATATTGACTGGTGGTGAAACATGGACACCAACATCATATATACGTCTTGTTCAAGATTATGGTATTGAAACAGAAGTAAATATAATAAAAGATTTTTTTGTTCTACTTTTATTTTATTTTATCTTATTGAAATAGGTTGCTGTTCATCTTTCAAATACATATGGTGATCAAGCAAATAAAGTTGCTGATTTATCATCATTAACTGGAAAACGTTGGCCTGTTATTGGTAAACGTTTACATGAAGAATTTCCTTATATTGAAGCTGAAGTTATGTATGCTATAAAGGAATATGCTCGTACAGCTGTAGATATTCTTGCAAGACGTACACGTCTTTCATTTCTTAATGTAATTGCAGCTGAAGAAGCTCTTCCCCGTATTATAGAAATTATGTCTAAGGAATTAGATTGGAATGAACAAAAACAAAAGGTTTGTATGCAAATTGTATGTTTTATTTATATTCTTCTTTTTTTTGTGTTTGCAAAATAGGAAGAAACAGATCGTGCAAAAACATTTCTTCTTCGTGAAATGGGCCTTAATTTGAAACGTGATATGCGTCGAAATGTACCAATTAATTTCACACGTGAAGAAATGGGTTATTATATGAAACATTTCCGACGAATTGATGTTGATAATAAAGGTTTTCTAACACTTAGTGACTTAAAACGACATTTACAGGTGAGTGAATTTCCCAAATTAATTACTTAGAAATTTTCCTATCAAGCATATTTATACGAATACAAAGAAAAAAAGAATCTATACTGTTAAACATTAGAAATTCCATACATATTTATTTTCAGTCTTCGCATATTTCGGATTCAGTAAGTATGAGGGTTGATGTAACACAGATTAATCATGCGTGTATTATCACTATTATTCGAAACTAACTTTACTCTTTATATGAATTGTAATTCAAAATCTTTTTATTATTAAATAGGTATCGGATAGTGATATATCAGAAGAAGAACTTCGAATTCTTATGCGTGAAGTTGATCAAAATCAAAATGGTATTATTGAAACTGAAGAATTTCTTCAAGTAAGATACATATTAACAATCATAGACGTTTTTTTATATTATATTTCTCTTCTTTATTTAGTTAATGAGTGCATTAAATACCGGTGCTGTATCCACAAGTCATTTTGTTAAAGCTGCTCGAATTGGTAAAATCAAGAGTAATGCACCACCTGAACGAAGTGGCGGTGGAGTTTAGATAAAGATCTGCGAATAATACGATCTAGTCATAAATGCGTGAAATCTTTTTCTTTTCTTTTTTATTCTTATTAATAATTATATTCATTTTGACTAATAGCAATAGATTGTATTGATTTCTACATTCCTGTTGAATATCATTATTCTCTTTTTCTTACACTTTTTTTTTCTCTTATTATTTCAATTGATAAATTCTGTTAGTAGAATCTCTATTTTCTGCATGCATGTGTGTTTTTTTTTCAATTTTCTTTTTTTCTTCTTTCATTTGTTCGAAAAAAAAAATTTCTTCTTAAAGAGTACATAAATAAATTTTATGTTAAAAATAGCATACAAGATGTTATTCCATTAAATTTTAATGTAGGAAAAAAAAGTAAATTTTTTTTGAAAAAGAGGTTAAAATACAATTATGACTTGATACTACATTATGTACATGATGGTTTTTGTTTATTTCTTTCAAGCATCTGATCTTGAACACTTGTATATTCACATTTCAATTAACTAATAGAATGTCTCGTATAGAACAGAAGTTTTTTATGCCAATATTCTAGTTACTCCTACACAAACGATTATCCAGACTCTGTCATCTGTCGGATCGCAGGAAGTAGAAACAAACACCATACATTCGGTTTTTTTTCTTCTCATTTCTTTTTTTTTCTTCTTCTTCTTCTTCTTTTATATCTATCCTCAAGCATCAACCTTCAATCTTTCCCTTTTGAATAATCTTTTGTCACATCGTCATCAAGGTGAAACACGTCTTCTTCTTTTTTCTCATTCTTTCACCTGTTCTACTTTTTACAATGATGTTCTTTACAGTCATTCTTCTCATTAAGAAAAGCTACTTATAAACATAAATGTAAGACGGCATCATCATCATCATC